CTATAGTTCAAAGCTAAGGACCTGTCACCTGTTTGAAAATAAGGTTTTCATTTGCATTTTCCACTTATCTGGCACCATGCCGGGTTTGTAGTGATTATTTGAAAGATTAGCCAAAGGTGCGCTAAGCTCCTCTTTACATTCCTTTAAACCCTTGCTAAAGTTATAGGGCCTGGGATGTGTTAGGTTTTAATTTATCTATTTGCCTAAGGACCAGTCACTTGTAAACCTAATAGTGCACAGTTTTATTATCGTCCTGTTCTACATAATTTATCATTTGGAATATCGCTGTATCCTTCTGTGTAAAAACTGAGAGGAAGTTTGTGTTAAAATTCTACACATTTCCTTATCATGTCTTGAGCTGAACCGAGGACTTTTGATGGGCCAAATCTTGTCCTGATCTTACTTCTGTATACCTGAAAGAATCCTTTGGGTTATCTCGATTCTCTTGCAACTTTAACTCATAATCTCTATTTGTTTTCTAATTCCCTTTTTTATTTCTCTCGTAAACTGAATATATCATTTAATGCCCTCTCCTCTTTGATTGCTATATATGCTCTCTTTGACAATCAGATATTTAAATCTATTGTTCACCCATTTAGGATCATTTTGGTTGATCTGTTTTCCCCTATTTGGAACAAATTTGACTGGCGCTAGAACTATGCCCTGGAAAGCATTCATACGGACCTCACCCTACCGACCCTAGTCAGGTCATTCCAGTTCAGCCACAAGTAATTTTTCAGTCAGGGAAATCAGCCAAGCGAAAGTCAGGGAGGAGACTTGATTGCCATTATTGGGGAAATTTCCTGTATGTTAAACTGAGTGATTTGTGTTCACTTTCCCCAAGCTCATCATTAACCTCAAGTTATTAATTATTTGTTTCCCTACTGGCAAAAACCAAGTCAAGGAGGTTATTTCCCTAGTTGGCTCTGTCACAAACTGTTTTAAAAAACAATCCTGGATCGTATCAAGAAAGTCACCCGACTCAAAATTTTCCTGTCAAATGCTCCGTCAATCTGTCTATAGTTGAAATCTCCCATTAGCACAATATTTTCGTATGTAGATGCCTTACGAATTTCGTCCCATAGAAGTTTACTGCACTCCCTATCAAGATTTGGGGCCCTGTAAACCCACACCAAAATTAGTTTTTCTCGGCCTCGAGAAGTTTGTAACCAAACAGTTTCCCAGTGGCTGACGCTTCTAATTTAATACCCTGTCTAACACAACAAATTTAAATTGTCTCTGCATACATCGCTACTCCACCACCTTTCTGTTGACCCTGTCAGTGTGGAATAATTTATAGCCTTGTATGTGACATCAGAGGGCATCTTTCTATCTTTCAGATTGAGCCAGGTCTCGTTATAGCAAAAATATCTATGTTTCCTGCACTTGCAATTAATCTTAGCTCATCTATCTTATTTCTAACACTCCTGCTATTAGTATAGTAAACCTTAAGGGAGCTAGTCCCTTGCTGCCCCCTGCTGTCCCCCTTTGTTTGTGACCTGTTCTATTGTCTTTTATTTATAACTTCATGCTGAATGCCTTTTATACATTTACGTTTCCAACCCTAGTGTTGCAACCCGCTTGTTTCCCACACACACCATAACTCTATCTTCCATCAGTTTAAAATCATAGGCATTTCAAACCCAAAGGCCTTCTCAATCTAGTCTGCAATGCTACCACCCCTGCCCAGAGAGATGTACCCCATCCCTTGCATACATATCATGTTTGCCATAAAAAATTGTTCCAGTTGTCAATGAATGGGATTGCAAGTTCCCTTTGCAGTATCTGTCTAGCCAGCAATTTACACCAATTGCCCTAGACAACCATTCATTTCCTACTCCCTTCTAGGGAAGATGCTACATATGATTGGGATCCCTCCCTTAGATTAATGAAATCTATAGCTGACCTGTACTTATCTAGCAGCTCTTCTCTCCTACCCTTCCAATATCATTTTTCCCCCGCACTGAGACAGATAATGGGGTTGTTTCCATTACCTGACATGTATTATCCAGCTGGTTGACAATGTCCCCAAACACCAGCTCCCGGGAAGCACACTCTATCTTCCATCTTCTTATTCCTATTACAAAAAAGCACGGTTTAACATATCTTACCCGAGAGTCACCAACCACAAGAATGCGCTTACCTTCATTAGCAGGGGCAGTAGTACCCTTACCTTCACTGGCCCCTGAAGTACATTCTCCTGGAGAACAGAGAAGCGATTTCCTACCTTCAGATCTTCATCTTAACTTTACTTACTCTGATGCGCCTCCATTTCTGTGAAACTCGCCACTTGTAGCAGGTGCTGGGCTGCACCTCACTGTGGTGCCCTTGCTACCTCCCCACCTACAGCCTCCTCACAGTGAGAGACAGACTGCACCTCATGCTAGAAGCCTCATTCCCCACATCTCCAACCACCTCACACTTCTCTCCCGGGCCCATTGAGGTGGACCTTCAGCCTCCTAATTCCTCCTGGAGAAGCAAGAACTCCTCCTTCAACTCTCCAAAACCCCAGTTTTTAAAACACTGCAGAAGCAAGCCTGCTTTGTAACCGTCCACGCATCCCCAAAGCAGCTCAGGGTCTGTGACCTCACGTGACGACTGACCACTGAACACTGACGACTGACCACTGAACACTGACGACTGACCACTGAACACTGACGACTGACCACTGAACACTGACGACTGACCACTGAACACTCCCAAAGTTAGGTTAGGTTAGGTTAGGTTAGGTTTTGGTTAGGTTAGGTAGGGGAGACACCCAAAGCGGATGGTCTGTGGATCGAGGCGTGTGCCAAGGCTGGAGTCAGGAATAGCCAACAGAAAGTCCCATGAATGAGAAGCTCTCACTGCAAGGAGCCGGGCTATATCCTTCCCTGATACACTATGAAGCATTGTTGAGGCTATATATATTCTCCACTATTGGGCCATCTCAGTGTGACTGTTTGTAGTTGTTGGGGGGGGGACGCAGGTCAAGTTTCAGAGCCCCTTTGATTATCCCAGATCATGGCACCTCAATGAACTTTTGGTCAGATTTCCCAAACTGTTCCTAAGATGTTCAAGGAGAACGCTGCTAAAGCGCACTGGATGCAACACACGAGACAGGAAAGCAGGTAGCCAATCTGTGATGACTTGCGGACACCAATGCCTCCTAGTCTGCTGGAAGTGTAGCTTGGTTCCACTTCCCATCTTTTAGAGTAAGGTTGAGTACTTTCGTAAAATCTGCCTCAGGATACTGTCATACTCGTGCAGTATAGGGTTATCTATGAAGGTGCACATCTTAGGAAATATGTCAACTTGGGCAGACTCAAGCACTTTGGGAGAAGGTACAAGGCATCTTGGGCTTCAAGATTGCCTGTTCGTTGTTCCATACCCATCAACTCTTCCACTTCCTGAGAACTGAGTCAATGGATCACTTCCCAGGGTGCTCCAAGCAAGACGCTATTTGTGAGGGACAATGACTGATGATCCTGGTAGTTTTGATCTCACTGCGTCGACCATTTGGGTGGATTCAGGATGAGACCCATTTCCCGTCCCCGTGTCCCTTTTCTGTGTAAGAAACATCTAGAAGGAACTCCTTTGTACCGCCAGTGTGCTATCATCCCGGAACTAGATTTTAGCTCACCGTAATTTCCCAACGCTATCAGAAGAGAATGGTGCGGGGATTACCTTCTGGACACTCTCTGATGATGGATTCCATGCTCCCAACAGAAGCACTGATCCGGCTATGTCCAGCTGAAACAAAGGAGACCAGGGAAATGTTCTTGTACAGTTGAAATACCACGTCTCTTTTCAAGAGATTAAATTTGCATCTTGAAATCTATTTTCCACTGCATGTCCTCAGGCAGGTTGTTGATATTCGCCCTTCTTGCACGAACCGCTGCTTCACTTGACTGAGGGACCTCAAAGCAGAGCTAGTTTGTTGAAGCATCATGGCTGTCTCTGTGTGAATACTTCGGACAGCAGCTTTGGAACGAGGCGGCAAAGAGTGTTGCCCACTGCAATTCCCCCATTCTTTTTTTTTAAGAGCACAAGGTAAATGCACCAAAAAAAAAAAGTTTCTAATTACGTCAGGAATCAGACCATCCAAGGATTTGTTGACGAGGATAGTGATCTCCGACAGCCTGGGAAGCAGGTACTTAGTACCGTAGTCTTGACGAATCAAGACTAACGGTCTGACCACCTCCCTCCGAGCTGGGGGACTGATTACCTCATCTACCTCTTCATTCTTCTGTACTATATTGCTAAAGTTACTGGTTGGTGAAACGTCTACAAAATATAGATACCAGATGTGCCCACAGGATCATGCCATCATGCTCGCCCTCCACCAGTGTTCAGAAAGCTTGACGACTCTTCATTATCACAAATGATGGTGTGTTCAAAGCATTTAAAATTTCACAGAAATCACTACAACTTCTTTGTGCTCAGCTTGAATATCTTTAAAAACCACTTATTACTCTATATACTTTTTAAATATACAAATTATTCATTGCGGTATAATTTGAAAATTTTCAAAAGTATTATAGAGATTAACATTAACTTAAGTAGAATAAAAACCCCAAATTTTTGGTTATGTTCAAAAATATTAAAAATATTAAAAATATATAGGAAAAAATTGTGCTGAAACGTTATTTAATTGAATATTTTGACTACTGAGAACGCAGTCAAACATTTTCTAACATATTTTAATTTTTAAGTAAAATATTACCTGGCACTGGTGCACAACACTCGCCACTATCGCCTGGCACTGGTGCACAACACTCGCCACTATCACCTGACACTGGTGCACAGCACTCGCCACTATCACCTGGCACTGGTGCACAAACACTCGCCCACTATCACCTGACACTGGTGCACAACACTCGCCACTATCACCTGACACTGGGGCACAACAAATCGCCCCTATCGCCTGGCACTGGGCACAACACTCGCCACTATCACCTGGCACTGGTGCACAACTCGCCACTATCACCTGGCCTGGGCACAACACTCGCCACTATCACCTGACACTGGTGCACAACACTCGCCACTATCACCTGGCACTGGTGCACAACACTCGCCACTATCACCTGGCACTGGTGCACAACACTCGCCACTATCGCCTGGCATGGTGCTCAACACTCGCCACTATCGCTGGCACTGGTGCAAAAAACACTCGCCACTATCACCTGGCACTGGTGCACAGCACTCGCCACTATCACCTGGCACTGGTGTACAACACTCGCCACTATCACCTGGCACTGGTGCACAACACTCGGCACTATCACCTGGCACTGGTGCACAACACTCGCCACTATCACCTGGCACTGGTGCACAAAACTCGCCACTATCACCTGGCACTGGTGCACAACACTCGCCACTATCACCTGACACTGGTGCACAACACTCGCCACTATCACCTGGCACTGGTGCACAAAACTCGCCACTATCACCTGGCACTGGTGCACAAAACTCGCCACTATCACCTGGCACTGGTGCACAACACTCGCCACTATCACCTGGCACTGGTGCACAAAACTCGCCACTATCACCTGACACTGGTACACAACATTCGCCACTATCACCTGACACTGGTGCACAACACTCGCCACTATCAAATGGCACTGGTGCACAACACTCGCCACTATCACCTGGCACTGGTGCACAACACTCGCCACTATCACCTGGCACTGGTGCACAACACTAGCCACTATCACCTGGCACTGGTGCACAACACTCGCCACTATCACCTGACATTGGTGCACAACACTCGCCACTATCTGGAGTTTACCTGGAGAGAGTTCCGGGGGTCAACGCCCCCGCGGCCCGGTCTGAGACCAGGCCTCCTGGCACTGGTGCACAACACTCGCCACTATCACCTGGCACTGGTGCACAACACTCGCCACTATCACCTGGCACTGGTGCACAACACTCGCCACTATCACCTGGCACTGGTGCATAACACTCGCCACTATCGCCTGGCACTGGTGCACAACACTCGCCACTATCACCTGGCACTGGTGCACAACACTCGCCACTATCACCTGGCACTGGTGCACAACACTCGCCACTACCACCTGGCACAGGTGCACAACACTCGCCACTATCACCTGGCACTGGTGCACAACACTCGCCACTATCGCCTGGCACTGGTGCACAACACTCGCCACTATCACCTGGCACTGGTGCACAACAAACGCCACTATCACCTGCACTGGTGCACAACACTCGCCACTATCGCCTGGCACTGGTGCACAACACTCGCCACTATCACCTGGCACTGGTGCACAACACTCGCCACTATCACCTGGCACAGGTGCACAACACTCGCCACTATCACCTGGCACTGGTGCACAACACTCGCCACTATCACCTGGCACTGGTGCACAACACTCGCCACTATCACCTGGCACTGGTGCACAACACTCGCCAATATTACCTGGCACTGGTGCACAACACTCGCCACTATCACCTGGCACTGGTGCACAACACTCGCCACTATCACATGGCACTGGTGCACAACACTCGCCACTATCACTGGCACTGGTGCACAACACTCGCCACTATCACCTGGCACTGGTGCACAACACTCGCCACTATCACCTGGCACTGGTGCACAGCACTCGCCACTATCACCTGACACTGGTGCACAACACTCGCCACTATCACCTGGCACTGGTGCACAACACTCGCCACTATCACCTGGCACTGGTGCACAACACTCGCCACTATCACCTGGCACTGGTGCACAACACTCGCCACTATCACCTGGCACTGGTGCACAACACTCGCCACTATCACCTGGCACTGGCGCACAACACTCGCCACTATCACCTGGCACTGGTGCACAACACTCGCCACTATCACCCGGCACTGGTGCACAACACTCGCCACTATCACCTGGCTCTGGTGCACAACACTCGCCACTATCGCCTGGCACTGGTGCACAGCACTCGCCACTATCGCCTGGCACTGGTGCACAACACTCGCCACTATCGCCTGGCACTGGTGCACAACACTCGCCAATATCGCCTGGCACTGGTGCACAACACTCGCAACTATCACCTGGCACTGGTGCACAACACTCGCCACTATCGCCTTTCACTGGTGCACAACACTCGCCACTATCACCTGGCACTGGTGCACAACACTCGCCACTATCACCTGTCACTGGCGCACAACACTCGCCACTATCACCTGGCACTGGTGCACAACACTCGCCACTATCACCTGGCACTGGTGCACAACACTCGCCACTATCACCTGGCACTGGTGCACAACACTCGCCACTATCACCTGGCACTGGTGCACAACACTCGCCACTATCACCTGGCACTGGTGCACAACACTCGCCACTATCACCTGGCACTGGTGCACAACACTCGCCACTATCACCTGGCACTGGTGCACAACACTCGCCACTATCACCTGGCACTGGTGCACAACACTCGCCACTATCACCTGGCACTGGTGCACAACACTCGCCACTATCACCTGGCACTGGTGCACAACACTCGCCACTATCACCTGGCACTGGTGCACAACACTCGCCACTATCACTGGCACTGGTGCACAACACTCGCCACTATCACCTGGCACTGGTGCACAACACTCGCCACTATCACCTGGCACTGGTGCACAACACTCGCCACTATCACCTGGCACTGGTGCACAACACTCTACATCACCTGGCACTGGTGCACAACACTCTACATCACCTGGCACTGGTGCACAACACTCTACATCACCTGGCACTGGTGCACAACACTCTCCATCATCACCTGGCACTGGTGCACAACACTCACCAACAACACCTGGCACTGGTGCACAACACTCTCCATCATCACCTGGCACTGGTGCACAACACTCACCAACAACACCTGGCACTGGTGCACAACACTCTCCACCACCACCTGGCACTGGTGCACAACACTCACCATCATCACCTGGCACTGGTGCACAACACTCTCCACCACCACCTGGCACTGGTGCACAACACTCATCATCACCTGGCACTGGTGCACAACACTCACCGTCATCACCTGGCACTGGTGCACAACACTCATCATCACCTGGCACTGGTGCACAACACTCACCGTCATCACCTGGCACTGGTGCACAACACTCACCATCATCACCTGGCACTGGTGCACAACAGTCACCATCATCACCTGGCACTGGTGCACAACAGTCACCATCATCACCTGGCACTGGTGCACAACAGTCACCATCATCACCTGGCACTGGTGCACAACAGTCACCATCATCACCTGGCACTGGTGCACAACAGTCACCATCATCACCTGGCACTGGTGCACAACACTCACCATCATCACCTGGCACTGGTGCACAACACTCACCATCATCACCTGGCACTGGTGCACAACAGTCACCATCATCACCTGGCACTGGTGCACAACAGTCACCATCATCACCTGGCACTCACCTGAAAAAGTCGTAGCCGTTGTCACAGTCGACCAGGACCTCCTCGAAGCAGGTGATGACAGTGCCCAGACGACTGCCACAACAATCATGATAAGACCATTAACAGAATGACAAGGTAAAGTTATTATTATTATTATTACTATTATTATTATTATTATTATTATTATTATTATTATTATTGTACCCCTGAAGGGAGGTCCCCTTGAACCTGGTGAAGGGCTCTTGATCTAAGGTATTTGAACTACTCTCTCTCTTACCTTAGATCGAATCTGATTGTCTCGAACTCCTCTCGTGCCATATGGCCCCTACAAGTTTAGTGCTCCTCATGAATGCAATAATGATTACAATAATAATATATATAATTAGTCATTATTATTACTGCCAAATATTTATTTTAACTCCGAGTCAGAACTCAGTCCTTACTTTATTTTAATATTAAATATACGAAAGCTATCCAGAAAAAAATAGTGAAATCTTTAACAAATTGTTATTTCAGGAGATACTAGCCAGGATACTACGCTTGATTAGCTCTCGGAAGGACCAATCAACTGCTAGCATTAAGTCACATAACACGCCTGACCAATCACAGTGAAGAGGCGGGTACCAGTAGCTGTGAATGGACCCCAGCAATCACATAAACGTGAGTATATCATCCCCGGGTCACCCTTCCAGCAACCACCTGTCAGGCTGCCTCACTGGAGTACTGTCTCCCGACGAAAATTGTGATTTCTCTTTTTTTTCATTATTTAATTCTCGAAAATAAAATACCGACAAGTTTATCTCCATGGAGGTGAACTCTTCTCCAGGCTGAGGGACTGACCACTTCAAATAATTTTTCCCCAGGGTTGATGGACTGATTGCATCATCTTTATTTCATTACTACTGCTCCCTTTGTATCTGACTGAAGAAATCTACTGTACAGACGAAACTTTTCATCAATAAAAATATCAAGGTGTTTCATATGTGTCTTAATCTTCAAATTAATTCCCTATTTTAGTGGATAAGACAATGAGACGGACAATGTGAGTACTTAATTACCATTGTAATTGTGTACTGTATTTAATGTAACATTATTTAACAACTGAGGCGAGGTTAACTTACGTCAAGACGCCATAAATATTAACCATATCTAGCACAATTAAAATTTTATACAAAAAAAAAAAAAAAACTGCCGGTGTATCGTGTTTATATTAAAAAAAATAATGGCTGTTTTGGCCTGGAATTAAAAGTAAATATTAGTTACGTTTCCCCCCCAAAAAAACTCAGCATTATACTACTTAATTTATACGTTCGTATAACAGTATAAATTGTATTGGTAAACGCAAGTGTATGTTTAGTTGTGTTTTTTGCGGCCACTAATGAGAAACTAGTTATAATTTACGGTTAAATATTTTTTTTAATAGATTTATGTAATTTAACCTCTCCCAAAATTATTATTTTTTTCTTTTTTTTCTTTTAGCTAAATTAGAAATGGTCATTTTACTTCGTTAATTTTATTAATTCAAGTCAGTTTTTTTCTGTTTCTCATGAGCTATACGAAGGAGTTACAGAATATACGAGTATAAATAATGTGATATAAATAAAGGCACAGGAGAATGTCAATAATATATGAAGTGCATTTCGGGCGATCACCTACTGATAAGATAAGATTTCGTTCGGATTTTTAACCTCGGAGGGTTAGCCAC